GTTTGATTTCCAAAAATTCGGCCGCCCGTCTTTCTGGAATTCAGCTGCTTGGGAGTGTGAGAGGAACAAAAAAAACTTCTTTTCTGAGTTTGCCCAACACAGATAGTCCTCGACTTACAACACTCCATTTAGGCATTGAAAAAACCCCAAGTTACGACCATTTTTCACAGTTACGAACGTTGCAGCATCTTCATGGCCACATGATGAAAATTCAGGAGCGTGGCAACTGACTCATATTTATGACGGTTGCAGTGTTTCTGGGTCTTTTACGGCTTTCGGACAAACTAAGTCCATGGGGAAGCCAGTCTCACTTAATGACCGTGTGACTCCCTGAACAACTGCAGTGATTCCTTTTTTAAAGCCACTGTGGCGAGAAAGGTTGTAAAATGAGGCAAAACTCACTTTGCAAATGTTTCCACTTAGCAGCAGAAATTTTGGGCTCCGTCGTGGTCGTAACTCGGGGATTGCCTTATTTATTTGATCAAATTTTGAAGCCACCCGTAACTCTCGCAGGGACAGAGGAGGGATGGCGACTCTGAGCAGTGTAGAAGTAAATCATTCAAACACAAAACAAAAACGCTGTGTAAAATTGTTGGGGGAAAAAATAGCGAGGATGATCAAAAACTGTCAAAAGTTAATCGAAAAGGCAGTAATTTGGTTTAAAAAAAACACAAGAAAGATTCACAAGCCTCGGTTTTTATTATTCGGACACGGATGCTTTATTTGAGCACAGCCTGGTTAGTATTTTTGGTATGTTTGATCAGCATTTTCTTTAAAGCGGAATCTTCCATTCCAGAATAAAAGCAGACAGGAGCTTTTTGGAGGCAAAGGGTTAAATTGTATTTTTCTCTCCGAACTGTCTGCATTGATTATAATATTTGGATCAAAAGCAGAGCATCACGTCAGGGCCAGAATACAGATTTCTCTCTCTTTTTTTAAAAGTGGAAAAGGTGAATGAGGTCATGGAAGGCGTGCTGGTTGCTGATTTACGATTTCTGAGAAAGTTACGCCCTGTATTTCTGCCCCCCTCCGCCCCCCCAAGTCAAACCACATCAGCTAAGGATAATGAATTAAAAACGCCATCTAAAACCAACTTGGAGCAAAGCAGGAGGTGAAAGAAAGAAAGAAAGAAAAAAGGAAGGAAGGAAGGAAAATGCAACAAGAAGCCAGCGAAAATCAATCAGGAATAACATAAAAGAGTTTTGCAGAATTTTTTTTTTTTAAAAAACCAGGTTCAAAAGCGCCAGTGGAATAGTTTTTTCTCAATTTAAGCAGCTTGAAGACATATGTGGACTTCAACTCCCAGAATTCCCCAACCAGCAGAGTAGATTGCAGGCTTTGTTTTGACCTGGCAGCTCCCAAAACACGACAAACCCTCTGAAGTGAACTCAAAAGATTCCTTTATTAGGAGCGCCGACAGCCCTGGCAAAAAGTTTTTAAAAGTTTTTCTCTCACCGCAGGCTAACAAGTCTGTCCAACCGGGAGATGAATAAGTTGCCTTCCACATCTATTCATCTCCCTTTTATTCCCAGAGCCAGGGTGGGGCTTCGCTAGCAGCAGAGGCTCTTCCGTCCCAAGGACCAGCCTATAGATTTCCATTGTTCTCCTCTGTTAGGAATATAAGTCAC